GGGTGGGGGGTGGGAGCAAGTCCCCGCGCCCTGCTGTGAGGGCGGGATGGCTGTCCACCCCTCCTGCCCCGCCGATACAAAGCAGAGCCAAGAACTTTGAAAAATAAGCGCTGGCATTGGAGGAGGGTGAGAAAAAACGAAGCGGAGCCCTTTCCCCACCTTTCCAGGCGCTGCCCCTTCTCCAGCCGATGGGCCGTTGAGTCCGAGGCTGTGATGTGTCATCGCTGCCGAAAACTACCTTATTAGGAGAGAAAGTATCGGTGAAAATCAGATCTTTCCTTAAAGCCGTTGGTGTGAGCCGAGGGCTGCCTGCAAGTGCCAGCCTGGGCTCGTTCCTTGGGGGATGACTAGACATGAGCTCAGCAGCGTGGCCGGGAGGTGAGAGCATCCTCCCGCCGAACCCACTGTCCCTGGCTCCTGGAAGCAGGAGGAAAAGCCCCGGTTCATCCCCAAGGGTTGTCCTCTCTATTCTACCCCAAATAGCACCCGGGGCGTATGTGAGACGCGAGTATTTGGTGGTGGCAGCTGCAGGTACCGGGGCTGGGGATAATGATGGGATCGGATGACTCTGCAAAGAGCAGCTCGCCGGGCTCCTGCTGCAGAAGCTGCCGCTTGCTCAGGCGATGTGCGTGCGGTGCTTTGCTCCATCTCAGAGCTTGCCTGAGCTTTAGCAGCACATTCTCTTGCTATGAGGTGATGCCACATTGCTAAAACCCTGGCAAGTTTTACTGGGAGTGCCCATGGCAGTTACACCGGTGCCACCAGGGAAGATCGGCCACGACACAGTGGCAGTTCCCATCAGCAGCAGTGTAGCTCTTCGTTTTGGGGTCGAGGTTTGCATCCCTCGGTCTCTCTGTGGCAATCAGTCACTTTAAGGGGGTTTTCTTCCCTTGTTTTGGCCCATGCCAAAGCCAACAGTTTGGGTCCAAGTTCTCACGAGAGCGTGCAAGCACTGTCCTGCCCGGTTTGCACAGCCCGTGGGTGACATGGGGACAGTCACGGCAGCAGGGCCACAGCGAGAGCACCCCCCAGCTCAGCCTGCTGCAGGGCACCCCCATCTTGCAGGGTGGAGAGGAAGGGATGAGACCTGTTACACTTGTTGCTCTGGTTCACATCTCCTCTCCTTTCCAGGGACCTGATGGCAGAGCCCGAGCCTGCTCCAGAGCTGCAGCTGGATGAAGCTGGAGCATCCTCAGCCCCGCAGGGAGCAGCTGCAGGCGCTGCTCCGCACCCGGACCTTTCGTGCAGCCCAGTAGACCCAGCGGTGGGCGTGGAGGTGACACCCCTGCATGGGGGCAGCCCAGATGCCTGCCGGGAGCTGCAGGCAGAGAGTGGGGATGCTTCCTTGGAGCTAAACATGCCAGAGCCCCAGCTGGATGATGTGGCTGGGGCCAGGATCCTGCTGGATGTGGATGTGGCAGGAATCCCGCTGGATGTGGATGCAGAGGGAGTAGGGATCCCGCTGGATGTGGATGGGGCAGGCATCCCGCTGGACGTGGGTGCAGATGGAGTAGAGATCCCACTGGATGAGGATGCAGGGATCCCACTGTACATGGACACAGATGGGGCAGGGATCCCTGGCGATGCAGACGCAGAAGGGGCAGGGATCACGCTGGACATGGACGCGGAGAGGGCAGGCAGCCCCCTGGATGTGGATGGTGAGGAGCATCAGTGCCTGACCCTGGAAGAGCTGGGGGACTACTTCCAAGAGTGCATCGAAGCTGTCGAGCAGCTGGAGAAAGAAAGAGACAGCCTGATCGCAGAGCTCGCCAAGCTCCGGGAGCCAGCGCTGCAGGAGATCCGCCATGCCCACGAGGAGATCCAGGCAGCCTGCCGGCTGCTGGCCAAGGTGGAGCTGGAGAGGGACAACCTGAAGGATGAGATCCGGCAGATCAAGCAGAAGCTGTTCAAGGTGACAAAGGAGTGCGTGGCTTGCCAGTACCAGCTGGAGAGCCGGCGGCACGACCTCTCCCAGCACGCTGCTTACCAGGGCGAGCTGGAGACCCAGGCTGGGCAGCTCTCTGGCGAACTGTCCCAGCTGAAGGAGACCTGCGAGAAGGAGAAGGAGGTTTTGAGGCAACGGCTGGAGAATCCGCCCTGTCGTCAGGATAACCTGTACCTGCAGGAGAGCCGCCGGCTCTCCATGGAGTTTGAGAGCTTCGTGGCGGAGAGCCGGCGGGGACTGGAGGAGCACTACGAGCCCCAACTTCTGCGACTGCTGGAGAGACGCGAGGCAGGGGCGAAGGCGCTGCAGGAGATGCAGGGGGAGATCCAGGGGATGAAGGAAGCCCTGCGGCCCTTGCAGGGGGAGGTCAGCCGGCTACGGCTGCAGAACCGGAGCCTGGAGGAACAGATCATCCTCGTCAAGCAGAAGCGGGATGAAGAGGTCGGGCAGTACCGGGTACGTGCCCTGCCTGGGCATCCCCTCACACCCTCTTGTTTAGAGAGTGGGAGTCGTTTGCAGGCAGTGAAATGTGGATGCTGAAGGTCTTGCTCGTAGGGCCAAGGGGAGGAGCGGGGTGGATGAGCAGGGTAAGGAGGTGGAATTATCTCTCGCTGGTTGAAGTCAAAAGCATCCCCCAACCTGGCACGGGCCAGGCAACGCTGCAGCCCCTGGGCGTAGGGCAAACCCCAGGTTACAGGGGTGCAGTGGGAAAATGCTGGGGCTTCACCTGAGGAGCTGCCGGAAAAAAGGTTTCTCCCAATTCTATTCTCACTTGGTTTTGACCTGCCCCTCAGAAATGGCCCCAGTGAGCAGGGACGAGGAGGAGGGGACAGGGGGTTTCCTTCCCAGAGCGGGCCAGTAGCAGAGCTGAGCACAGGCACTGCTCGTTTCCTGCAGCTTGTGCTAGCACGGGGGGCTGAGCTGAGGCACTTGGAAAAGTCAGTTTTAAATAAAGGTGCCTTTTCTTTAAAAGCCCAGCCTTGCCAGGGCTGATCCTGCCCTTCCCACTGCCAGCAAGGGTCTCACCCGCTGTGCCCACAGCCCAGGGGCCGGGCTGCCTCCCAAGAGGATTATTTCTGGCTGCACCAGGCACCCCCCCCCTCCCAGCACTTTGTCCTGAGGGACAAGGCAATTCAATATCTAAAGAGCACATTTGGCAAAGAGGCTCCACAATTAATCTCCCCTGTTTTCAACACTCCCTGTTCTCGGCTCGTAATCGCTGCCTCCTCTCAGCCTGGCTCAGAGCAGCTTCTGGAAGCTGGTGTCCCCCCTCCGTCACTTTTCCTCCCTGCTGAGCTGGGGACCAGGTCACCAGAGCCCACACCACTGCTCAGCTTGGATTTCAGGGTCTGCTCTCCCTTGGAGGACAGGACTTTGGGGTATCCCTGACGTGGCTCCACATGTTCTTTTTCCCAAATTCCCCATTTATCTTCTCCCGACTCACAGGTTTATACCTTTCTGACAGCTTCTCAGACACACACAAAGTAGTCTAGGGGACAAAACCAGCCAGCCAAGAGAAGCCTAAGGACCCAACGCATCACATCCCAGCCCAAGCTCCCACCTTCGTAATAAAGCTTTTTTCGCAGAGGTTTTTTAAGGCAGCGGCTGGCCAGCCATGAGCCTGGCTGCGCTTTGTCCAGACCAACACCATCGAGAAGCAGATCCTCCCATGAGAGCATGGGCAGCAGCTGAGCACAGGTTCTGAGACAGCCTTCCTCCCCCAGCTAACCCACTCTTGCCTTTGTCCTCCCCAGGAACAGGTTGAGGAGCTGGAAGACAGGCTGAAGGAGCTGAAGAACGGGGTCCAGCTCCAGCAGCGCAAGAATCAGGAACTGGAGGAGCTGAGGACCAGTCTCCACCGGGAGCTCTCCATCTACAAGTCCGTTTGTGTCTTGTCCCTGCGGTGCGGAGGGGCTGGGGGGAGGAGGATGGAGGAGAAGAGAGGCTGGCAGTCACACAGCTGCTGGACACCGTGGGCTTTTGCTCCTGGTCCCTGGGCACGGTGTGTGAGCAAGGCGTCTGGTGGGACAGCATAGCGGGAACTCCAGACCTCTGGCCATCCAGCAAATAGGGGTTTGGTGGGAATTCCTGTACACGAGGCGTGGAGGTTGCTCTCAAGAAGCAGGCAGGGCAACTTCAAAGTGCCTGTTTCCTTAGGAACACGTGGCAAGGAGTTGAGGTTTAGGTTTGGGAAACACCCTTGTGGATGTCATCAATGAGAGAGAACTATCTCCTGCTTATCACTCTCTACTGCTGGTTTCACTTGGGTCTTGTTACACAGGATTTTGTAAAGCTCCAGAAAACATCCCTAAGTTTGTGGACTATTTCACTTGCCAAACTGCGTTGTTACGTGTTATTCCAGTCTCAGCTGTACACACTCTTAGCCAGTTTCTGTAGCTTGGTACTTTAGTATTCTTTTTTCCCCTTCTTCACTCAAACCTCCCCAGGCAAGTGCACCAGGGGAGGATATTCCCTGCCCCAAATAGATGTAGTTTTCTCTTATTCAGGCAATACTTCAGCATGGTAAGCACAGGGGAAAAGCCATTCCAAGACATGAGAGTAACCGCATTTACGGTTCAGCCCAGCTCCCACCACCCGCCTTTGCTGCTTTGGGTCCTTGTAAATCACAGGTCTAAATCACAGGCCACTATTCAAGCCTGGGTGCAGCAGCACAGTCCCTGAACTCCTGGCAATCTACAAATTGCTATCCCTGGAAGCTCCAGCACGCAAGGCTTCTCCTATGTCAGGACACCTCTTTAAATTTCACATTTGCACTGAGGAATCTCAGTTAAGCCCGGCTCCACGCTGCCGTCTCCCACAGCTCACACCAAATTACATCCCCTTCTGCTAAAGCTAGTTTGTTTGCCCAGGGCTCTGGAAGGGCTGGGCTAGAGTGGCACACGGACAGGACCATGGACTGAGACAGTGTTTCCCAATTACTTTTCTTCCATACTGCAAAAATAAACGTTTTTCAGAAAGAGCACCTGTCCCCCCTTCCCCATTTTCTCCCCCAAGTACTTCATGTAAATATTCAGTAGCCTAAATTCACTTTCTACCCCTACAGGAGCTGCTTAGAAATCTATGGCCACCTTTGCAAATCAGAAGACAAAGCAGACCAGGACTGCTAGGAACGACGGACTTTTCCCTGTTGTAGCAAAAGTAAAGGACAGAGGCAGCTCCAGGGGACATCTCCTCTTGCTGCTTATCCTACCTGATGCACAGCAGCTGCCTGGAGTCAGGAACGACAATCATTTGCTTGTGTGTATTTCTCAAGATGCTGCTGTTGCTCATGTAGTAAAACTGCTTTTCCAGAGAGGAGCAGAGAAAACAATACTTGCACTGAACCACGGACAGACCTGAGGAAGGACAGATGTATGTTTTGCTGTGTTTGGAGAAATGTACCTTGTGTTCCAGCGGTGGATTGTATAAGCCTGCACAGAAAGCTTTGTTCTGAAAGCCAGTGTTAGGGGGGGTTATTGTTGAAGTTTACATGCAAGAGAAGCTTTAGCCTTTTAACAGGATTTTCTTTTGTATTTCAAGGGTCTCTGCTGTATTGTGACATGCTTGAAGGTCCTTTCCGAGCTAAATGATTCTATGCTCCACCGTGGGCCACAGAAACTAGTTTGTGGAGAATAGGTTTCCACTTTATATACAGTCTCACACTGAAAATAAACGTCAGAGTTTAAGGATCCTTTTAATTCTCAAAGCTGTGTCTCAATGAGAAAATAACAAGGCCTTTGTGTCAAACCAAGGGACTTGTAAGGTATCCAACTATTCATGCCGCAGATTAACATAAAAAAAAAAAAAAATAGTTCTGTGGCAAGGGCTACAGGCAGCCCCAAAATCCCGACAGCAGCACGCTGCAGGTGGAAGGCACGCTTCAGTGCAATCTTGACTGCTTGGGGATCTTAAGTACCCATTTCACAGAGAAAGCAGCAGAAACAAGAGGGGGAGAAGCATCCACGTGTTACAAACTGAGGAACACCTATACCAGCACCTGTCCCATAGGGCAGCCAGTGGTGGAGACTACGCCCTCGCTTTCCGAAGAGGGACACCTCACTCCCCACCAAGCAGCTAACGCCGAAGGAGAACACCAGCACGGAGATCACAAAGCTACACAGCGTCTACGTAGAAAAAATTTATTCCATCTGAAGCACTTACACGCAGTTAGTCATGAGGAGCATGGAGAGTAACGGGTTGCTGGTGGAACAGGACACCCTAGTGGAAGATGTGCAGGAACTAGTGGTCAAGGACTAACTCCTAAAAAAAGTAGTTCATCCACATTTAATTTGCTTTACAGATACCAGCTACCAATGCTGTTTTAGGTTACCGGGCATGCCATCTGTGGTACATCAGTTGGTAAAAACATACACCTTTACAACTTGGTGGCCCCAAGTTTTAAAAACCATTTCACAGAAAGGAAAGAAATATATGTGAAAACACAGCTCAAGAAACACACAATAGAGCAAAATACATGGAAGGTGAACAATGCGCTGCAGGAATAGCTAACGAACCCAAACCGCTGTCGCCCAGCAGATGGGAGAAGAGGGAAAGGAAGGAAGGAAGGAATGGAAAACCCAGAATTACCTGTAGAGACAAAAACTATAGAAAGAAATTTCATTCAGTTCAAGTCAGAACCTGCAAGTCTGTTTTGTATCTGTAAAAGGAGGCAGAAAAATCCACAAGGTACAGGTTAACTAAAAGGAATCCCAAGACTGCCGAGTTGTGCTTAAGAGAACAAGACCTTCCACACTCCATGTCTGAGCTGCCAGTGGATTAACACTCGTATCCTCTCCATTGGCTCAAGCACACTCCGGCAGCTCTACCCATTTAACTTTAAATTAGGCAAAAGCCCACAGCTGTAGCAAGCTAAAGGCAGAAGAAGAAAAACCCAACAAAACCCAGTTTGCTCAGTGTGATGGAGGCAGGTAAAACAGGATAGCCAGCCCTATAGGCAAGAGGTTGCTGTAGGGAGTCTGGCCAAGGAGCTACAGCATGGTACCAGCTGAGCTGGGCTAAGCCCTTTTTTTTTGGGAGTACTCACTGTCTGGGCTAAAAAGCCTGTTGATGGTATCTACAGAAGGATGGCTGAACACAAAGTCTACGTGTGTCTCAAAACCAGTGTTAAGTCAATATCAGGGTTGAGAGGGAAGAGAAGGAAAAAGACTAAAAACGGGAAGAGGGTGTCATCTAGGATCCTTGACCTTCTGGATCCACACTTCCTTCAGGGTCTTCATCGTTATAGATGTTCTCCGCCTGCAAGAGAGATGGAGGAACTGAAGAAGCACTTACTACAAAACTGAACAGGGTTCCATCTGCTAGGACCCTTCAAAGTTCTGGCAGTTTTCCATCTGCAGATACATATTGCCCATCCCCGACCCCTCAAGACCATTTAACGCTAAAGCAGCAACGCAAACAGCCTCTTTCGTAACGGCCACGTCTCCAAAACATGGCAGAAGTACCCTGTGAGTTACCGTACGGTATTCTGCCTTGCTGAAGTAGAGACTGCTGCGGGACTTACTTCAATTAACAGACTATTTTGTACACATTTAGTAGATCCCCTGCTTTGCAGCAGCACTTTCCAAAGGAACTGTATGGAAGGCTGCTAAGAACAAAGCCCCTGCAAACCCATTTATAGATAAACAACACTTAGGAGTATGGTCTTGTCAAAGGTTATTCAAATAATGTAAGATTGCTTTCCAAAATCTTCAACAGCTGGTAATTTAGGGCCAGCAAACTTGTCCTGTTCACCACCACCCCTCTCCACCTTCAGAAGCACATTTCTATCATTTGCAGACATTTCATTCTTTAAGACAACAAACAGAAACCTCAATTTCATCTTTGCTTCGCACACACAGTTTTCATTCAAACGCAGATGGGAAAAATGTGCTTCTGCACCAGTAGAGTTGTTTGGGTTTTTTTAAATCATGAGAAACCCAAAACAGCTTATGAGTATTTGTAAGCCATTGTTTCGACCAGACCTACAGTGGATTTCACTGTCCCTCTGAGATTTAAGCAGAGCTACAAAGTGAGTAATTCTGAGAGCTGCAAACAGAACCAGGAACGCTGTAATCCAGGCAGCTCAACACCGTGTCCCAGCTGCCACTTCCTGCACCTTCCCAAACAACTTACCATTTGCCAGACTTGCATGATATTATCTTCTGATACAGAACAAATTACCCAGGGTTCATTGGGATTCCAGGAGAAATCAGATATCTTTGCAGTATGACCACCATGAATAAACTAGTATTGGGGAAAGAAAAAGGGGAATGTTTTCAAATCAACATCAGAGAGATGAATAATAGGTCAAAACAATCAACGAGAGTCAAACGACTTACCAACAGCTCTGGGGGACCATCCTCAGCATCTTCAGGGGATTGCTCTTCCCCAATTTTACTGTAAGAAAAGGAGGAAAAAATGAAAAGGTGGGGGATTGGTTGGTTGGTTTTGTGAAGTGTGATGCAATTTGTCAACGGTATTTTGTCAGGACAACGTGACTAATTTGGCATTTACCTCAAGTCCCAAACATTTAGCCTGCGGTCAGTGCCACTGGAGGCCAGTATAGTTTCATTATGGGGAGACCACTGAACCTACAGACAAGGATGAATTCAGAAAGCAAGTTAGTTTTAAGAAGCTGTAACGTGACAGACATTCCCAACAAACACCACTTTCTGTATCATGAAAGCTCTGTGAGAATTCCAGTTGATAACAACTTGAAATATGGGTATGCCCAATAACAACAAAGACAGGAGGGAGGTTTGTGAACATTCACACACTAACAAGGCATTTGAGAACCAAAAAGGTACCGTGTGTAACCTTTCCTCTAACAAAGACGGTGTGTTATGAAAAGCAAACAGCTCTCAAGGACATTGGCTGCTCCCTACCTTAATAAGGATTGTACAAATATAAACTACAGATTCCTTAAGTAGTAGGTATGGTTTACACATGAAAAGACATCACTGTAATTAAGCTTAATTTACTACTTCTGCTGGAGATAAATCTCTCCAAAACATACTACTTAATAGGATCACAGGATTAGAAAGGAACACATAATTCTGCACGCTAACCTGACATTTCAAGATTCCGTGTGTAATTTTATTTAGAGGTAACTATGGTCTTAACTAGTAATCCTTCTACAAAAAAATCTCTACATATTTTTCTGCTGAGTAAAGCATGAGTTGGAGATGGAAATATTGTATCTGCTAAGCACATGCTACCCATGTTAACGTTCTATATTTACACCAGCAAAATTAGCAATTGTTTGGTGTCACAGGATGTTCCAGTGATCCCTTTAACGGGTCCTGGCTAAAGCCTTCCTGCAGGACCAAGCTGAGACGATGAAAACACTCCAGCCATTTCATCATGCCTCCCCGCTTCAATCTGCTGCCATGAATAATTTACTTGTACTCTGCACTTCTAGCATTTCACCCCTCTGTTGTGGTTAAAGCTCTCGGCTATTTCCTTGTTACGTTCTGCCCCGGCTTTCTGGACGCTCTCACCTGCATTGGAGCTCTACCCTACACAGAGCACTCTACAGCTCCCCAACAACAAGCCAGAAAATTATAAGCAGATGAGAGAAGGGAATATACGAGTTTTTAAGTGCAGGTACATTTAATAAAAATGTGGAGTGGAAAAGAATGTTTCTCATTTTTTCCAGACAGCTAAGTAGGATTAAGTTTATGTGCACAAAACATAAAGACATTTTGTTATACCTGAAATATTTCATCTTTATGTGATTCAAAGGAGTGCAACTTCAGTTTTAGGTTCCTCAAGTCCCATAGAGCAACAGTCTAGGAAAAACAAAACAAAACAAAAAACCCACACAACAACATTTTTTTTTTGAAGTAACGAATATATGCATCCAGATTTACACATCAGAAACTGAACAACTATGTTGCAAGTCGAAGGTCGACGTACCTTATCAGCTGATCCCGTAGCCAGGATAAACTCACTGTAAGGATTGAAAGAGAGGCAGTTGACTTCAGCTGTGTGAGCATCCACTGAATGACTAGGTTTGGAGGTGTTGTTTGACCGAGTATCCCAACTGCAAGGGGAAAACATGGAATTGAAACAAAGGTTTAGATCCCATTTTACTGAGGGGCTAAGGAGCAAGAGCGCCAGAAGCACTCCGTTCCTGAAGACATTACCCCACTTACATCATGAGCTTCTGATCATCAGCAACGGATCCAAAAAGAGATTCATGGAGCAGGTGCCAAGATACATCTTCCACTACTGCTGTATGCCCTGTGAAGATGGTCTTTGCATCCACCACTTTGCCTTCTTTTGGAACAGCACTAATATCCCACAAGCAAATGGTCTTCAAAAAAATAAGAATTTTTAAAAATGGCATCTTTAGACAGACACTCTCTTTACCTCCCCCACCTCCTCTCCCTCAAAAAACCACCAACCACCACCACATTTTGACCATTGCCAGGGGACACAAAGTGCAGACTGTACCCCAGCTGTCTTTAAAGTACTCACATGATCATCAGAAGCACTAAGCAAATGCCCACTCAGGTTCGGGTTCCATGACAGCCCATAACCTTCCTTCTGGTGTCCACGAAGACGCAGATCAGGGTTACACTCTCCAGAAGGGTCTGTAAAGAGGCGGCATAAGAACACTAGTGCCTGCTACCATTTCCAGCACATCTTGGAATACCTGGCCTTGAGTTTTACTGTGCTTTACTAAACTTTGCTTTGACATTTTCACCCTCTCTTACCCTTCTGAGCATTTTCCCCAACTGAAGAATCACCTCATTAAAACAGAATGCCCCGAGACAACACAGAGCAGTTTGTCATCTTAGCTTAATAAAAGCACATTGCAGATTTTTTCCCAAGCTGCCTTTTTTTTTTTTTGGCTGATGGCCGAGCAGCAGTCCATTCCAAATTACTGCTACAGGACCGGCTGAAGAGTCAAAGGAGCCCAGAAGCCACCTCCAAGCTCTGGCATGAGTCACCTGGTCTAGCTGGATGGAGGAACAGCAGCTTATCTCAGTTACCGCTTCAAAAACTCTTCCTAAACGCTCTACTGGTGCAGTATTTTTCTTTCTCTTATCTCCAACTGCACTTTGAAAGTGAGAAATGCACTTCTGATCCTCCCAAGTGGCAGAAGCAGCTACCCTATACAATCTTGAGGAGTTCAGCAGTAAATGACTGTTAATATCCTTACAGGGTAACAGCTCAGCTACCCAGCAAATCATACCGTTTCCAAAAAGCCACCTTCCACCATTCCAAATACCAACACATACACTGACAAGACAAAACATGCGGTAGAACACCAAAAGGAAAAAAAAAAGCATATCTTCCTATTGGTACATATTGGATATGTATGGTTAAGCTCCATATAAAATACCCTTTTATACTAAACACCTACTTTCCCCTAAAATCACAGATTATATGCAATCCACAAAACTTTTTAACCTCTTTTTCACTACATCAACCCTTTCTTAAGGAAAGGCTGGCCAACCTCTGAAGCACAGACATAACAAAGCAGTAGCCACCTGGTTTAGAAGGGTGTTTGGTGTAATCAAAGACAAGGACATCACTGGATGGAGTCTTCGTAGCGATGATACACGGGTTCTGTGGCATGTAACGTGCTCTGTTCACTTCTCCCTCGTGATTTATCTTGATTTCAATTTCAATTTTTCCACTAACTGACCCAAAGCCTCCAAACTCTGGAAATAAGAATTCAGTAGTCTTAAATAATAAGCCAGTTTCAGATCAAGACACAAAGAGGCAGACTCAATTACTGGTACTACCAAGCACTTATTTTCAAAGACAGTCACAAGAACAACTGAAAGAACCCAGTTTTCAAACGGCATGTTGTTTTAAACATCTGTATTTGTATCAAAATACCAGGACTTTGGCTAAGTTAAAGACCATTTCTTCCAAAAAAATTTTACTATTTCAGATTTAACAACACAAGCCTCAAATTTATCATATCTAAAACTCTTCTCTAATGAAGACGTGTTGTACATTTGAAACAGATGTGCTGTAACTGCACTTTCAAATATAACGAAGAAATTCAGCATTACAGAATAGACAAAGTTCTGGTAAAAACAAACTGCTGCACCACGTTTAAGACATGGAACTGTAATCTAAACTGGCTAAAGCTACCTTATCTTTACAAGTAAAGTCACTGTAATTTAAGTGTTTTACACAACTGCACAGCACCGCTCTGACAAGAGAGGAGTTTGTTTGCTTTGTTTTTAAATTGGAGTAGTATATTTTTGAGAAATACTAAAACAGAATAGAAACAAAGTATTTATTAGACAGTATTGTGTTTGTGAATAACACTTAGAAGCTCAAAGATCAAAATACTAATTGCACAATCCAGGCTTCCGGCAGAACGAAGAGCAAACGTTGGATCATTAAGGACTTTCACCAGGTAGAAAGACTGATTCAACCAAGTAAAAATGAGAAATGTCCAACTTGCAGCAATGCTGACAGCCAACTAAGATTACAGAAAGCATCGAATTCAAGTCTGATATACCAAACCAAACACAATTATCTTTTTATCCAAGAGGGGCTGGCACAACTATCAGGCAGCAGAAATCAGACAAGAGAAGAACACTTGAAACGTTACACTCCTCTGAAACCAACTATTCTTTTACATGAATGACTTCCTCACTGGAAGGGCTTATGTAACGCAAAAGTGATAATAAAAATACCAATAAGCAGCACTCCATGAAATTCGGTGCCAATTCCTGATGAGAAACAGGGAGAGGTGAGGCTTCCCCCCCACACACGTACTTTTGCAAGAAGCCTGCCACCTTCTCTTTTCATCATTATATTATTAAGAGATCATGTACATTCGAAAAACACAGTATCTGTCTCTTAAGTAAGGGTACCACTTCGAAATAAATCAATTAGTTCAGAAGTAACATCTGAACTTTAAGGAAAGACAAATATTCTTTTCAGAAGGGAAGGGGAAAAAACGGTTCAAGCTCCCCTTGGTGCACTTCTTTGGTCCCTTACCTCCTTTCTCGCTATCGTAGTGCGAAGCATCAAACTGTGCATCATCGTTAGGCAACTGCACGCTCGCTATCACAAGATGATTTTGTTCATCTGAAGTGTGGGTCCCCAGGACTAACCGGTGAATACTGAAATCTTTGCCTTCGGGTCTGCAAGAGAAGGGAGTTACATGAGAAACAAAAGAAGGGCTTCACACAAGCACCGAGAGGATTACAACACGTTTTAATGACAGCTTCTAACGCTAACAACGCTCTTTGAAGTGATTGTTGCTCTCCTGCTCCAACACCAAACTCGCTTCCTCCAGAGGAAGGCTCTTATTGTAACTCAAGATCTCAACCTAAAATCCTCACAGCGCAACGCCCTGACAGACCGCCGCTCCTATGCCCTTCTTTAAGGGACCTTAGCAGCTCCTCCCAAGTACAACTCTGAGGGGGATGAACATTCACTGCAAGCACAACGGTGTTATGGAAGCTTAGGACAAAGTGGTGGTTACACAGAAATTATATCTAGATCTACTTTCAGGCAGGTTTTGGCTTATTAAAGCTTATTAAATTGACGCTGAAGCTGAAAGAAGAAAAACATGGGAATTGAATGTGTGAAAGTAACTTCTCAGTAATAGAAGACATCTTCCCAAATTAAAAATATCTGTACTGATTACCTCTCTAGTGTTCATAGTCCTCAACTTGCTGTTGGCAAGGCAAGGGTACAAAAAGCAGTTAGGTCAGCTAGTAATCACATACTGTCTTACCTTAACAAAAAATAACCCTAGATTTACCATTTATTCTGCTTTTAAAAACAAAAACAAAACACAAAAGAGGCAAAACGATCAGTTTACCTTGTTACATCAGGAAGCCACTGAGCAGTCAAGCTGGGCCATTCCAGAGCATGGGTCATTACCAAATCATATAGGAAAGGGGTATTCTTTTTCCATATTTTATACTCTTCATTGATCACACGTTCTTCCACCGCATCATCAAAGGCTGCTGAAGGTTTTTTAGAAAAATGCATACGATTAGTCTTTATATTCACAACGCATGCACAGCACTGAGTGGGCAACTGAATACCGAGCCAGCTCCATCACACCCTGGTTTGCTGTTACAACTGCCCTATTGGAGTCGTTGCTAGATGATTAAAAATCCCCCAGTTGCACAAGCTAATCCTTGTTTCTGGATGTAAGGCTGGGGATTAATATTAACTATGTCAAATTTCATCATCTCAGCAGAAGCAGCATAATAAAATTCTGAAAGCTTGGCGCACAGAATATTGTGGAGGCAAACCCCATAATTGTAAAGACGTTTAAACGCAGGAGCTCCAGCAACTTCTGTCAGGCAGAGCGGTCTAGGCGCAGCCTTGAACTACCAGTTCCCAAAATCCAGTTTTCCAAGGCTCCTTCTGTCGCCTCGTTTCTCTCACTTTCTCACACCATCTGCCACCAGCCTCCTCCGCCGGAGAAAGCGAACGAGCGCGGCCGGGCCTTTGGGAGCGCACCCGCGGAACACGGCAGTGTGGCCGGTGACATCTCTTTGTCTGCGCTAGGCGGGCGGCTGCCCACACCCCTCCCCGGGCACAGCGCTCCCGCGGCCCTCCCCACCTACCCCGGCCCACACCGCAACGTACAAAC